GATCTTCGATAAATCTTTCTACATGAATTAGGATGTATTTCTGATGAAGAATCCTAATCGATAATTCACTAATCGATTTTCTCCAAAGTATTTTTTTCGCTTTACGCAAAGATGTTTAAAATGTAAAAGTGCATTTATCTTAATATGCTTTTACAATGTACGATACGAAAGCCAGAAACATTTTTATGTCATTTGTTAAATTAAGTGGAATCGGTTACATATAGAAACCAATACTGCATGATTACTTTCAGTTTCACGCCTCAAGATAGTCTGAAAAAGATCGCTTGAGACGTGAAACTAACAGTCACCATGCAGTATTGATCCGTAAGACCCTAATGTTTAGTCTATTTTCAAACGCTTTATCTCCGATACTGAACACTCTTTTGCTATAAATATAGAAAACTTTAGTATATGCTTCTTATCTGAGGTAGTCGCGCATTTTCTATCAGTGGTAATGGTCTGTATTCGGACCGAGGTGAAACCTAAGTTTATAAATTCCTCTTTCCAAAAGTAAACAGATTCCCCAAACCTATTCCCTTTCTTACCATTCACTCTTGACGCGGGCTAAATGCGAGTGTTTTCTCATATTGACATATTACATTTACAGTGGGGGGGCACCTCGGGGCGGTGTAATGGTTAGCAAGCTTGTTTCGCTAGAACAATTACGACTTAGTAGCGAGTTCGACCCTCACTGGCTGCCCCCTTATTTAGGCCTTGTGCCACATCTAAGCTACGTTTGGAAATTCACTGTTACATTTACAGGGGTTTGTGTGTGGGCCTCGCTTTGTGCTCCAAATATCAGACGAAGCTAAAGTTAGTAAATAAAAAAAAAACATAATGGATGAAAGTGGTGAGGATTTCAGTGTTCGATCCCTGATAAATGCAACACGAGCGAGTGCTGTTTTAAAGACGAGTAGACCATCTTCACCTGAAAGAACGGTAGAAGGAAATTTTCTAACTTCTGACTTGGGCCCGTGTTGGGCTAAGATATGCCCTTCACCTTGACAAAGTCAACTCAAATTAGCGACTGAAGTCGCTTATAATATTTTAGGCGACAATCTTTTTATGTCATTTGAAGTCTTCAAATCACATGAAGAGAATATTTGCTTTTTGGAAATACCTGAACCGTCTGCGCAATGTACTTGAGATATTCTAAACACATATTCATCACATTGATTTACCAATAATAATTTAATAACGTTAACTTGTGGCACAAGGCGATAAGTGTAGGAAAACCCACTGTGGCTCGAACTCACTACGGTAGTAATAATCTGAGATTAACGAGCTAAATATCATTATAAGGTTGTGTTCCCTAAACTTTCAGGTCACAATCTTTTTGACTTCTTGTTCACGTCCTTAGCGTCCTCCCCCACTCATATACTACAAATACGCAATTTATTTTTGGTATTATGCGTACTTGAAATGTAAAACAATCGAACACTTTCAACAAGTCGATGTACTTCACACACAAAAGCCATTAGTAAACAAATTTATTTCGCAATGAGATGGATGTGCAAACGTCTAGTCTCTTTATATTCAATAATACTGTTTTTTTAATTTTAAGGAATCTCTAGCCACGCCCTACAAAATATGAGGTCAGGAATGCTACAAAATATATCTTGACTGCATTATTAGATTGTTCATAAAATAATGACTAACTTTAGAACTAATTTTTATTCCGGATTTAATGTATTTAAATAATATTTTAAAGAAGTCAAAATTGGGACTATGAACATTTCTACATTTCTGCTATTTATTGGGTTTTTATTTTAAAAACTTATGTTATTCCCTACCCACAGACAAATTGTAGATATGGGGCCGAGTTAAGACTTCATGGAGACTTTGATGTTTTATAGTGGTTTCAGTTAGAATGGTAAATAAGAATGTGGTATTTTGGTGTAAGGAATATTTTATAGTTTGGGTCAGTGATTGTAGCGAGCTAACTTTTAAGATATGACAGATGAAAACTAGCCTTCCCTATCCCCACTTTTGGCCTTGTGCTACATTTTTAGTTTTTATACAAAAATAAATATTATTCATATATTCCTGCCAGCGGGTTACTAATTTATGCCTTTACAATAAAACTATAAAGCTTTGGACGCCAAGGTTTCTGCATGTCTTTTAGCTTAAAAAATTGCTAAAATTCTTGAAAAAGTGGTAGTCAGTGGGCGAGGGATCAGCAGAATATGGTGGTTGTTGCAAAGTCTCGTATCCCAAGTCGGTAAGCTTATAAATATAGCCGAACATTGTCATGAAGCAGAATTGGATATCGTTGATTAACCAGTGCCGGTCGCATTTTACGTAAGCGCATGTGCATTTCACCTAGTTGCTGGCAGTCAACTTTGACAGTGATGCTCTAATAGATAACGCTAATGGTGGTCCCCCACACAGCCACTATAATCTTCTGTTGGCGCAATTTCAGTTTTAGAAAGTGTTTGCGTGCTTAGTCATGATCAAGCTATTAAGCAGATCGTTTACGACTGTTATAAAAGATCAGTTTCTCATCACAGGTGACTATTCGATTCGAAAATGGATCATTCGAATTTCGCAGATGCACCATCGGACAGATTTCAAAACGTCGAACTCATTGACTTTCACGGAGTTCATGTGGAACCAATTTATCGTGTTGCCAATTTTCTCAAGATGGTCTGATATTGTTGAAATGCTGACATTCATTATCCTAAAAAAATTCTCAGACACTTTGAGTTTGTTTCTGTTCAACTAGTGTTTTCATATGGATGATCTCAACCACTTTGATCTTCAAAATATATCTCCATTGCAAACCTTCAGAAACTAGTGTCGTACTGTCCGATCACAAGTGGCCTTCACCCCCTAACGTTCTGTTAATGTTGGCAGCAGTTTGAGAAGCATTATAGTCAAGATAAAAATTCACGCAAAAAAATAAAAAGTAAACACATCTTATTTCTTTTCATATTCGAGATGATGGGATATATGATGTTTTAAGTTAAATTCTGGAAGAAATTGGTATAAAATTAACAGAGAACACTTTAATCATTAGGAATGAGTAATATTTTAATGCAATTATTATTATAATATATTAGAAGAAAATGTTTATTCTGGAAGTATAGTGGAGTAATGGATAGCGGCTCGAATTGAGGAATTGGAGAGCCGAGTTCGAATTCCAGTCGAATCCATTATGTTCACTTACGTGTTAATACCCTTGAGAAAGGTATGAATCCGCTTCTCCCAACCGCAGCTACGGATAAATGGCAGAACAGACCGGGTTCTATAGTCTTGGATGGCAACCTACCGCCGAAAGAAATGGCAACCTACTGCGGGAAAAAATCTGCCTCGTCAGTCATGTATCGAAAGATACATGATCACCTAAGCACATAACTGACTGACTGCTTATTCTAAAAATCAAATTTTTTGAACAATACAACGCAAGGTAACGGTCATAAACGCTGTTTTGTAACCCAAAAATCAATTTTGGAGTGAATTTAGTTTTCACTCACGTTTTTTCGTCATTCTCTGAAGACGAGACAGATTTTGAGAACTAATCTGCAGCAAAGATTACATAATCCTTCTTAGGTTTTTTAATGGCTGGTGTTCTTAATTTTATTTTTATACTTGCTCATTTAATTTTAAACAACGATTGTCTGCCGTATGTGCTTTCGGGAAAGCGGATTACTAAATTATATATGTAAGAATACTTTTAACTTATTTCAAGCAGAAGAGTATAAATTTAACAAATTATGCATAGGTTTAACAATATTTGAACTAAAAATATGTTAATAAAAATAGTAAAAAGGAGACATTGATTCTGCGCAGGAAATACAACCCAGGTAAATAATCAGACATAAAAAGCCGCCATTGTTGGTTAGAAAAAGTTATTGGGTGGCTAGCTGAAAGAACGAAAGAGAAGAAACGATTACCAATAAAAATAAGGCATAAATATTTCACTTATGCTAGTCAAGTGTCCGACATTTTATCGTACGTTAGGTTGCAAGAAGCAGATATCGAGGAAAGTTTGAAATTTTTTTATTTGCTTCTGGACCGGTTATGGTGTTATTTTGACCATCAAAAATCTTCATGCACTATTGTTGAGAAATAACCATTTTTTTGTCATTTAGCGACATAAAACAGTTTCTCGTAAACAATGGCGTATTTCATGATACTTTTTTCCCGGATTGTATAATGTTTAATTTTGCCAATTAAATTTACGCTGAATACAAATTCATTTATATACTTACTTCAGAAAGATGGATATCAACATCTGTGAAAATCAAGGAATCACGGCTTTCATATTTATATCATGCTGAATACATTTTGTGTTTTTTTTTGTTTTGTTAACGTAGATGCCGTCAGGTGTTTTCAGAGGAGTAGGCGAAGGATATGTCTCTCTTCAAAGAAGAAAAAAAATGACATCAGAAAAAATATAAATCCCTGGCACCTGAAGTGTCCCCATATCCAGATGAGCAAAAGTCTACATTTAACTCTGCTCCCACGTTAAAAAAAAAACAAACCTTATACTGAATTTTGAACGACGTGAGCGTCCAAATCAATACTTCAGGAAGAAAGAAGAAAAGAATCAAATATCGACAGGGAAAAATGCTAATCCCTCTGCCAAGCTGACCATTCCATTTCGGCAATGCTAGATTTCCTAAATGTTTAGACGATTCCAAGTTAAACCCAGGAGGATTCTCTCCCCCTCCAATACCTAATTCACTGAGCAAAGAAAACAACATTCTGTTGTAAACAGTATTATACCAACTTACTCTCGCGTCCGGAATAGACGGGCTTATTCGGCGATTTAAATATTTATTTTTTCCAACTTACCTACTGTATTTCCAACTCCGACGTTTATTTTGTTTTTTACCTTTTTCCAACCTGTCCGTTTATTTCAACATCCTCGTCATAGTGTTTTTTTTTTTTTTTGTCTATGAAAACATTAATTTTGAATTGATTTTTCGACCTACCATTCTATTCAGAACTTATAGCGATATATATCACTAATTTCCTCCCAACTCTCTACGGGCCTACGGCCATATCACATTGAAACACCGACTCCCTTACGATCGCCAAAGTTAAGCAACGTCGAGCCTGGTCAGTACCAATATGGGTTACCGCTTGGGAATACCAGATGTTGCAAACTTGGATGTGCGCTAATGAATCGAAATCGCCTTGGGTTCGTTTTATTCTCTTACGTGCAAATATCATAAGAAAAGCTATGATTCCACCTCTTCTCTTCCCAGATATGGATTAATTAGTAAGACTTGTATCATTAAATTATTTATCCCCAAAAATAAATTCTTAATATCTTAAAGAAAATATTTCTGGTTTCAAATAACCTGCAAATAAACAGGAAATGAATGAATGAAGCAATCATTCAATTCTCTGAACCTTATCCTAGCGAGGGTAATATATACCATTCTCCCTCCGTACAGGCAATTTGACCTTTTGTAGTAGCTTTCTTGAGATTGATTTTAATCTAACACGAAAGCAGAAAGTTATATCGTTATTATATAATTTTTCTTCCATCCAACACCCCGTGCTTTGATTTGGTTTCATGTAAGTTGCTTGTTTTGTTTCTTTTTTTGTTTTGTTTGTTTAACGGCATATCAACTCGTTATGGGTCATTTAATACCGAAATTTAATTTTCTTGAGAGCATTAGTAATTTCTTTTACAAATTTAATTTTCTTTTACTGGTAATATTTTTTTTTTTTTTTTTTTTTTTTTTTTTACAAAAACGTAATGTTGGTAATTATTTTTACTATCAAAATGTATAGCTGGCACCTTCACTATAATAATATACTTCTACATTTTCATAGTGTTTGGGGGGGTTCAGTATTTGCTAATAGCTGGGAACTTAACAGGTGCTACCACCCCAGGTCAACAATTAAGAGGTGGTTCCACGCTCCTCAAAACCTCCCGATCAGATTCCTTGCTGCTAGATGTAGTTTATCGTCATACCCAGGACTAATGCAAGTTGAAAATTACAAACAAGTCCGAAGTAAATCAATCAAACATTTCTCCTGATTTTGACTTCTTGAACATGAACAATGGAAACTTGAAAGAAAGCATTAATGTTATTGAAGGGATTATCCTGATTCTTTACTGGAATCAATCGAGGAATTCCAGACAGATTCTAAAGAGCTGGTAAAGGAGAGGCAATCCTTCAGATGATCGACTCTGTAATGAATTGAGATTTGAGTTTATATATATATATATATTTTCTTATTTTATAATGATTATTGTTATTAATTAATGCATATGAAACACTTAAAATCTCATAGGTGATAATTTTTATTTCATGAGAACTCTAAAAAAGCAGCTCTCAATCTTCAAGACCTACACAAAAAGTCACAAAAAGTTGCTTTTTTAGAGCTCTTATAAAATAAAAATTATTATCTATGGGATTTTAAGTGTTTGATATTCTTTAATAATAATTTTGCTCTTTCTTTTGACATAGAGCTCTCCCTGGATCTATACCCTCCTGTAACTTCCATGCTGATTACCATATTGTATCATTACTAATATATATATATATGTATGTAGGGTGGTCCGGAAGTCTTGTCGCCCCCCTACCAAAAAGTAATGAGACCAATAGAAGAACAAGTAATACAGTAATACAAAGCACATGTACTGGATTCAGTTTATTCACTTTCATTGACACTGTCACACATCCAGAAGGTTTGTATAAACTCCATCATTTTCGTGACACGAAATGATCCTGCGCCATGTCCTGTGTGATATTTTATGAAGCTGTGTTTTCTTTTTTTTTTTTTTTTTGCAAAGGCTCTCCGAACGGCGTCCTTCTGGTATGGTTTATATTAGGTTGGGTGACAAGACTTTCGGACCACCTTGTTTGTGTGTGTGTATAAAAGAGAGAGACAGACAATTCTTCTTGACATGGGAAATTACTTTAACATCCACTGAATGGGTTTTCGGATTTCCAATAATAATTTGAATTATTTTGGATAACAAACGCGGCTGTCTGTCTATATTTCTGAGATAAGGTATTGCAATTATTTACACTGTTTTCTTTTTCGGACTGTTGTCCTCATCTTCGTTGCCATATTCAAGACGTTTCGGCCATTGTACGTCCCGGACTTCTTCAGGTGACTGGAATTTCGAACTGAACCCTTTATTTCGTTGGAGGGTACAACGGTCGAAAAGTCATGAATTTGGCAACGAAGATGAGGACAACAGTCCGCACAATGTAAATAGTGTAAATAACAAACGCCACGTTTGAAAACTGCGCAAATGCTGTAAGGCTTTTAATTGTTCCCAGGGATTATTGCATGATAGTTTCAGGTGCAGAATTTGTAAATGTTTAAAGAACTGTCAGGGATTTTTATTTTTATTTTCATATTATTATTAACTCACAGCTCAATAAAAAATATATATATTTTCAGAGCATTTAATTAAAATCAAAGACTAAAATTAAGTCCAAACCACTCCTGTTGGAGGAACCCCTTTTTGATTGAACAGGTCTTCCGCAGTGTAGTCGTACTCGCCACGCGTGAGGCTATTTAACCCATAGTAGGGGTTTTGAATGTAGAGTTAACCTTTTCATATACTAGTTGCCACCCAAGGCTATAAGACCCGGTCTCTCCTACTATTTCCCATAGCCGAGAGAGAAGAGATGGTTTCATACCTTTCCCAATTTTATTTTCACTTAAGTAAATGTAACGAACTCGACCGAAACTTGAACCCGGCTCTTAGATTCCACAAACGGAGCCGATATCCATTATGTGTAGACTTCATATTTTTGCCTCCGCTCCAAATTCCCCCTTTTTTTTTTACTGAAAGCTTGGCTGAAGAGACGTGGCCGAAAGTCTAGTAATAATGAAAAGCAAGAATTTTACTCAGTTTGTCATTAGACAAGTAAAACGGCGATAGGCGTATGTGGCGTTTGTCAGTTTCTCTCTATCATTAAAACTTAAAAACAACACATATATTTAACTGCTTTTAGTGTATTAAAACAGATTAATGTTTCATTTTAATATTTTAAAGTCTTCTAATATGAAGCATTGACGTTCTACATTGAATTGACTGAGACAATTATTTTGATCAAATTGTACAGGGGTCCGCTCTTCAGTAGCGGACTGGATCTAAAAATATTAGTTTGTTTGTTTAATGCCATATCAACTCCTTATAGGTCATTTAACGCCGAAATTTAATTTCTGAGAGCCGGGTTCGAATTTCAGTCGAGTTCGTTACATTTACTTAAGTGAAAATACCATTGGGAAAGATATGAATCTATCTCTTTTAATTCAATTTTCTTGGGAGCATTAGTAATTTCATTTACAAATATGTATTGCTGTTAATTTTCTTAAGATGAAAATGTACAGCTGGAATTTTTACTATAAAAATGTATATTTATACTTTCATAATGCTTTGGCCCCAGTTTAGAGGTTAACTATTTGCCCATAGCTGGGACCCTAACAGGTTCTACCACCCGGGGCAGACCTGGGAATAATAGTAATTAAGAGGTGATTCCACGCTCCTCAGAACCTCCCGGTCAGATGCCTTGCTGCCGGATGTAGTTAATCGTCATACCCAGGACGGTCAAAATATTGGTTGCCAAAAGACAAACAAAGGGAGCTCAACCACAACTACAAGGTTATTATTTAATTTACACAATGAATAAATAAAACCATCCCCCTACTTCCACTTCTTTTTCACATCCGTTTAATATTTTTTTTAACTTGAAACATTAAGTGATTATTTGTTTGCTTCTTTACTGCATCTTGATTTGGTTTTGCTCTTTTAAAAAAACAAAACAATCATTCAGTTAGAATACAAAATTCCGGAAATATGTTGGAAATTTATTTATTTAATTAATTAGAATTGTCAAGGTTCCTTCAGAATAATAGAGGTTAAATAATATCATATCACGTCGGGTATGTCACCAGAATATTCTTCCATTTGTGTTTCCCCCATTATAGGTATTATTGCATCCATAATATAGTGATACCTTATTTCATGGAACAGAACAGGTGAAAGAAAAGGAATGACAAACATGTTTTGTTGTCAGAGAAGTTTAAGTTACGCACAAACCTATATAACACATAATGGTAAGACTAACGCCGGAATGCTGGTTGTGTTTAGGTAGAAAACACGTGTCTCCTGGTATATTTTCCCACAACAATTATTGCCAACTCGAATGTGAGTCCGAGTAATAAATGATAAAATAATAAAACCATATACAAAGAAACGAAAATGAATTATTAACAAAAATATACATAGACAATAAAGAAAAAATTAAACTAGAGCATGTTTTTGTGTGTAAAATGTTTGGAGAAGTCCGAGTGAAATGTGTTACATTGAAGAAAACGAAGTGAGCGTGTGTTTCCCAGTGGGGGACACATTTTTATCACGTGCGATTACATCTTGTTGTCCAAGAGAAAAAAAAGAAAGAAGAGGATGGCAGAGAATGTCATTACCTATTTATAGGCTTAAGGAGCGTCCACTAGCGACGTTTATTTTAGGAAAGTCAAGTGGAGTAACCCTCAAGCCATCAGTTAAAGGAAGTTCATTATCGCCACACAGGTTTACAGTTTAAAATGTGAGGGGTATTTCTGCCGCACCCTGTATTAAGCATTTAGTAAAAAAGAAGTGAAATTTATTACTCTTTTTTACCAAATACAAGTGTCGTGTGAAATAGTCATGTCGGTGGAAATTTTTAAACAAAATAAGTATACTGGTTCGAATAAATGTTCGACCGGGAATTTTTAATATGATTTTAATAAATGCGGAATGAAAAAAATGGGAGGCAATTATTTGAAAAATAATATGCATGCTGTACCAAATAAGAACAACGACGTGTACAAAAATTGAAGGAAGTCATTTGATCCAGCCGACATCTTATGCAGTACACAAGAATGTGTACCAAAAAAATAATTAAAAAAAGAATCACAGTGGAGTAATGGATAGAGCCGAGTTCGAATCCCAGTCGAATCCATTACATTTACTTACATGCTAATACCCTTGGGAAAGGTATGAATCATCCTCTTCTTCCCCAGCTATGGGTAAATAGCAGAACAGACCGGGTTCTATAGCCTTGATAGCAAACCGGTCTACCGCAGAAAGAAATGGTAACCTACTGCGGGAAAAAATCTGCCTCGTTAGTCATGTATCGAAAG